TGGGGTCTTTCTCGAATTAAAAGAATGTACTGTTTAAAAGGACCAAATATCTTCTTGAATCTGGCCATAAAGGAGAAGTAGCAAAAGGGCTTATAACGGTTACTAAGCGCAGAAGCCCTCGGGCAATCACAGACGAAATATGTGTACGCATGGAGCACACGCTCATCTGCTTTGTCTTCTCCTGTCTTTACGACAGCGCGCCTTGACTCCCTCATTCATTTTTCCTCTTTTTCCTCGCCCTTTAAGGCTTGGTGCCGTCCAATATTGTGTCTGCTTGACGGAGTTTCTATTCCCTGTAAAAGTATGGACTGCAGAAGAGAGACTCAGAGGTCCATTTGCACAGGGCGTAGCTTCACTTCTTCTAACTGTGGATCTGCAAATTGTAAACTGGCAAAATGGCAAATGTGAAAACCATAATGAATCAGTAATTCACCTTATTGGCGGCCTAAAACAAGGTTATATTTAATTTTGATCATATTATTTGATGAAAAACTCCTCGAAATAGACTATCATTTAAGGGCCCTGAGAGTTCTGCTTGAACAATATCATGAGACCACTTGCCAAAATAAGAAATTGGAAATTGCGTAAATTAACTCAAAACTAAGTTCTGGCAACGCGAACACTGCCTGACCGCAAGCGACTGACTAGAGAATACCCATCAGATTGTGTTCATTCTAAGCAAATAAGTATATATTTTATCGTATTCATTGGTTGTGAACCTACATTGGCAAAGGGCGCAGTCAAGCTTCATATTCGGTCATTTAAGCTGTCATAAAAGTTAACTGTTCTTAAGCAATGGTTAACCAACTGCTCAAGTAGTTTTAACAGAATGCCGATAAACTATCTCTAAAATTCTAGATAATGGGGCCTTGCTTGCCCAAAAGGTATTCTTATCCAAGGTTTCTTGCAATTTCGAACTTGCCTAGGCCCCATCAGCACTCCTAGCGGAAGTAAACAATTCTACTGCAAAAATGTCATACAGGAATTTCCCAGGCTTCCTTCAACTTTATTTCTCCCCTCTGACTCAAGGGCATCCGTGGCAGGGTGCGGTAGTGGCTAACATGTCGAGGCCACACGTTGGGCTATAACAACTCGGGCTCGAGTACCGATTGGGGTGCTGGGGAGACCTAGGCGAGGTCGAAATTGCAATCCATTTCAGCTTGTATGAAAATACTTTTTGGGAAGGAAAACTATGTGAAATTCAATTGTAGCGTAAGATCAAATTATGTGATTGTGGGAAAATTCAACTACCTGTCTCTTATCACTTTAAACGAAATTATGTGAATACATTTCATATATATGATCTATTGATAGTCCCGAAAACCTACTTATAAATGAAAAATTGCACCGTAATTTTCAAAAGCGCATAGTTAAGACTCAATAAAAGTTAAGAGAGTTTTTTTCAAAATCTTTTTTTTTCTGAGCCTTCTTTTATTACCATTTTGGTGGAAGACTATGATCACCTAAAATATGGTCATGTCAGAAGGGGTCATACAGACCGAGGAGGAATGGTGAAATCTGTTGTACCAAAAAAAAGGCCATGATGGACAGAAATATTTGAGAATTAGCATCCATTATCGGTAGAATACATTTATGAAAGATCCTGGCCTTTAGCAGATGAAAACGGTTCCCACTATTTTCCGCGTTCGCAGACAGCCAGTCTCATGTGCTGACCCTGATCCGAGAGAAGAGTGTCGGCAAGATGAACTCAAGCCTCATTCGAATCAAGTCATGAGTATGTACATTAAACGCTTTAAGTGCACGTTATGGCTTCATGGGTGATGCAAAAGCCTCTCACTGGCATTCCCATAAAGGGGTTTCATTATTTTCCCTACCAGTCAAGCGCACACATCGGCTGAGGACCTTCAGACTTCTGGTTTGAAGGGTCCAAGTTGAAGCAAACCCATTGATCTCGAAATTCCCTCCGATGCCATTCTTGATAACGATCAGAAGCATGAAAAAGTGACTAACCAATTTATAGTTATTTTCAACATTTCTGGTCCACATATGTGGACAATAAATTGTCCCACATGCCATAGCTCTGGAAATCCTCCCTAACTGAGCCAGCAAGGTATCACTAGAAACAGCCATTTGTCTTGCAGACTTGCTACAATTGATGGCTTGAGCTGAAACGAAAGCAACATCAACGCGAGTACACATTCCGTTTTAGCTGATGACACTATATTGACTGATCAAAATGTTATAACCTTTAGCCTGGTTACAGGTGCCTTTGTTGTATCGAGTCGAATTGAGGCAAATTTCGAGTTGAGGGGATTCACCTCTTCCGGCCTCCTCTGCCAGTGTCGACATGTCTTCTTCCAATATCAGACCGTCGACTCAGCAGCATCCACGTCCCTTTGTCGGCAACTTCCGTTAACAATTGGAACCCGTTCTTGATAAAGTGCCCCTCATCAGCGGTCCGACGCCTGATGTCCACATGATGACATTGACAGGTAGTTGAGGGCTGGCCCCGTTGCCGTTAAAGGTACCAGTCTTAGCTCGATCTTGGTCAATGAACAGGGTACCAAATTTAGTCACTTTCTGTACATCACCGAGCGATTGACTCTTGCTCTTCGGGTCGTTGGCAATAGAGCCGGATGTCTGCCTCAACCTCATATCAGCTTTGCTTGGCACAATCTAGTCCCCAAAGCTCTGCAACAAGAAGCCCCTTTAGGTGACGCCCATATCTGAGCCGTGTAGTTAGCCCATCGTGGCTGTATGAGTCCTGTCTAAGACGGGACGGTTGACAGACTAGGCCAATAGACTCCATTCTTTCTCATATCTGGCCAGGACACCTTATCCCACATTGATAATTCAACGATCTTCATAGTCGCCTGAATACGATATGGCTATGAAGTGATTTAGTAATCCCCGCGGCTCTTAACGCTAATGTGTGCTTTAGACGTCTACGCCTTCCCAGACAGGCGATAATTTGTTTTGTCTCTCAAATATCTTTGAGTAATGCTCACCCTAGGGGCTCACATATTTGCCCTGCATTGGACAGGCACATCTACATACACACATACACACATACACACACACACACACATGCACACACATACACAAAAACGAGACCACATTAACACAACATACAGAAATACATTTACACTTATCTCCTTTCAGCTATTGTCTGTACCTGTGTGTATATGTGCGCATAGATAGTCACATACACCGGCCATATTGCAGCAGAAGACGCAGTCCTGCAGGAAAGCATGATTTTGGTGCTGACAATAGGTGGTGGGCTGAACATGATTGAAAGCCAAGAGCCACCGAAGCCACAATGAAGGCATAAAGACTGAAGACACAGGCAGGCTCAAATGACCCAAAGCACCGAATTGAAGATACTTTGCATAACATAATAATCCATTCATCCCAGGTCGCTTGGGGCAGGTGAAGTAGTGATAGTTGAATTTTTCCTACAACGCCATCTAATTTGCATTCACTATGCCTTCCATGAAGTGTTGCCATCCGGACTAGACTGTATTTTCAACTGCGCCCAAGTCACATGATCACCATGGCGGGATTCGAAGCCACGTCATGAACATAGTGGCTGCACAGTACCGCTCCGCCACAAACATGTCGATTCCAATTGGCAACAGAGCAGGTGGGAATTCTAAAATATACCAGTCCGTGGTATTGGGATACCTTTCAATTCGTTTGAGCAGGCGACTAAAAGGGATGCGTACGTCCGCCTTGGTACTGTGATTGTAGAATTGAGCGAACAAGTCCTCGACGCACTCGTCTACGACCCCTTGAATCCTTGTGGAGCTTTCGTCCGTCTTGTGGCGAACATGGTCAGGTCAGGACAACATGCTTAACGATAGAAGTGGGTTGACCTTTTTGTCGCAACTTGGTCTTGTTTTCAGGGAGGCTATGTAGAACGGTTGTCGAGGGATTGACTTCACTTGCCTCTTTGACGAGTTCGTAGCTTGGTGCGGAGAATGGCAAAGCTCACTGATAATGCCGACTACGATGCCGACGAAACGTTTGAGAATGTACCAAGTCCACTGTCAAATGCTGGGAATCATGATAACTCCTATGGTAGACGACTTCGGACTAGGTGCGATCTACATAGTCTCCCTGACCACAAGACCATGTTACGACAACGAGGTCAATCCACTTCTATAAATCGAAAGGAGACTGCGACCACACCAGACGCCACAACATGTTGATCTTCATATTTGCTTTACGATAATTCACCAAAAAACGAAAACATGAACGGTGCTTGACTGCATTCCTACTCACTTCTTATATCCCAACTTTGCCGACATAATTAGACATCCCTTTCTTGTCTTCGTGTTTTGGTCAATTACCCTAAGACATGCTGTCCTGTTCCGACGATGTTTGTCAAACGAAGGGCAAAAGTTTAGCATGAACTATCTATTAACAAAAATCTACAATCACAGCTTCAAGGCCATTTTCCTCTTCAGCCGTGTTGAGGCCAATTTATGAATCCCTTTCACTCGCTTCTTCAAACGAAAAGAAAAATACGCCAATATCAATCTATCAAGGTATCCTTCAATACCCTGTTGTTCTATAGACAAGTCCTTCTTGTGGAGAATTTCATTTTGTTTTAAATTGCATGATGAAGTGATTCGTAACTCATTCTCACCAGGAAACGAAGGGGGATTCTTGTTATTCTGCAGCCGTCTGGCTTTAATACGGATTCAGATTGATACAGTCCACCAGACATTCTCCCTGAGCTATCGTTATTACCTGAGAATTTCGCAAGAATGTGTCCCACTTTTGAAGATGTCCGTCATTTGACAAACAAAATCTCAGTCCGTCTCGTGGACTGTGCCAACCTGAATGTCTTATTAAAGCCAAACGGCTGCAGTACAGCTGAAATCATCCGCCGTCTTCTGGTGAGCTCAATTTATGAGTCTTTTCTGCACGCAATTTCATACGAAATAAAAGTCTCCAAAACAAATTTATCGCATAATTCATCGAAAGCCACTTCTTCCTCGTATAGCCCCAACTTTTCCAAAATAACATTTTTAGTTAAATTGTCCGTGATGAAAGAATGTATATTTTTTCGCGATTTGAATGATAACTTATCCTCGACGAAGGTTATCTCCAATCGGGTGTGTGGATGAGACGATGAGGCGATGAGACGAGGTCAAAGTTGAAGTCTAGTCTTAATCCGAGAACCCTTTATAAGATGGGGCTACGTGAAATTAAATGCCCTATAAAGAAAGACTCGTCAATGTGGTAGAATTTTGCTATCACTTATTCAATCATTTACAAAAGAACTAGGGTTACCGCCTTCTTACTGCAGCATTACTGCAGCACATCAGTAACGAACGTATTTAAAACTTCCATATATGATGTCTCAATATGTATTTATGTATGTATGTATGTATGTATGTATGTATGTATGTATGTATGTATGTATGTATGTATGT